CGCAAAAATGCGACCTGACCTACATTGACCCCAAACACACTCATAAACTATATTATAAGACAATACGTATTGTCTTCGTTCTTTTTTTTTTCCACAATAGATAACCAGGATAAAAGAAAGCCTCCAAAAGTGACAGATATTTGCCTCTATAGTGAAGCAGCCTGATATTTAATCTGTTATCAAACATTTAGTGTATTTTTAAAATATTTTATTAGTCATATCTATAGATTCAGCAGGAGTTTTGTTGAATGTAGTACAGATTTAAGGAGAATTTACATGAAAACAAACTAAAATCTGCATCTCTGAAACCACTACAAAACTAATCATAACTAGGCTAATAATCAAAAAACGGACTGATTATTAAAATGCATTTTTACAGAATGTTTGTTTTATGACATCCTGTTCTTTATTTACAGCAATTTTGTATTTAACTTATAATTACCAATTATATTTTTCAAATTGAGAATACATTTCGAATTCAATTGAAGCATCTGACATGCTGTAAATAAGCATCCATATAAAACCCAACGGGCTGCCTAACAACACGACTTCATGCAAGGAAAATTGCAAATGTCCCTCCTTAATTACAACAGTTCATTTCTGACACTATTACAAGACTCAGCAAACGTGAGTCACAATCGCTGAGTGTATTAATAAACTGGTTTCGTGTGTGGAATGCTTGACCTGTCCGATATGTGTGACATCATGTGTTTATTTGCATATAGTATCTGCAATCCTCCTTGTTTCTGTACGGAAATCACGGCCTTTGTCAAGAACAAGTGGAAATGCGGTTTATTGTTCTCAAGATATACTATTGAAACAGGTGTGTCTCCTTCACACCCTACACAGGCACTTGGCACACATACACACCTAAATACCTGGGAATGGACAAAACACACACACACATACCCACACCCACACACACACACACACATGTCTGGTCAGCTATCCTTGTGGGGACTCTCCATAGGTGTAATGGTTTTTATACTGTACAGACCATATATTCTATTTACCTACACCAACCCTACCCCTAAACCTACCCCTTACAGGAAACTTTCTGCATTTTTAGATTTTCAAAAAACTTAATTCTGTATGATTTATAAGCTTTTGCACCCGTGGGGACCACAATTTAGGTCCCCACCATTACACAAGTCCCCATGAGTCTGTGTGTAGTCAGGTTTAAGATTAAGTTTTTGCTGAAATAGTGGCTATAAGAGAGGTCACGTTTACTATCGTTGCTCCGAATTTCATGGCAAAATCCAGCCGTTTCAATAGTTGAAGTACTAAAATGACTAAAGCTGAAATTAAAATAAAGCTAATAAATATTCAAAAACTAATAACCTACACAAAATTACTTAAATGAAAACTAAAAAATGTTAAAATACAAGCTAATTCAAAATGTAAATAAATACTATAATAGCATATAAGTAATACTAGAATAACTCTGTTATTGACAGTATTTTCTGATTTATAGAGAGATTCAAAAACTTTAACTCTAATGTCAACTAAATGAAACAGGAATGTTGAACCTAAATTTACCCAATGTTCAGATTTATGTTCTGGAAATATATGTGACCCTGGAGCACAAAAGCAGTCATAAGTAGCACGGGTATATTTGTAGCAATAGCCAAAAATACACTGTATGGGTCAAAATTATCAATTTTTCTTTTTATTCAAAAATCATTAGGATATTAAGTAAAGATCATGTTCCATGAAGATATTTGGTAAATTTACTACCGTAAATATATAAAAACTTCATTTTTGATTGGTAATATGCTTTGCTAAGAACTTCATTTGGACAACTTTAAAGGCGATTTTCTCAATATTTAGATTTTTTTTGCACCCTCAGATTCCAGATTTTCAAATATCGTCCTATCCTAACAAACCATACATCAACGAAAACAAATTTATTCAGCTTTCAGATGATGTACAAATCTCAATTTTGAAAAAATTGACACTTATGACTGCTTTTGTGGTCCAGGGTCGCATATGCAGATTAGTGCATTCTCAATTAGTCAATTCTTCAATTGCTTATCGGAAAACTTCGCTTTGTCTAATTGTCTGTGCTTACTCAACTATTTATTAGTTAAATTTGACCCTATTCACTTATTATCTAGTGACTGTAAAATAGCCTACCAAAAAGAAGATTACCAACTCAAATTGGTTCCTCGTTTTTGCTGTGGTATCGAAATTGAGCATTAACCGTTAAAAAATAATAATTTTGAGAACTGCATATTTTCATTGTCTGAGTGGACATTGATGATTATCCAAGTGTTTGAAGTGATGTACTTGCTATACAAGCTTCAGCGTCTGTCATCTGAGCATCTGCCCTTGACAATGACATTTATCAGCAGCAAATAGCAGCATCTGAAGAATGCAGCGCTGCCTGATGTGTGCCAGAGGTGAAAGTGTGTTATAACACCAACAATACAAACTGATCAGCACACAGTGAGTGTGTGTGTGTGTGTGTGTAAATGAGTTGTGAAAGTGTGTGTTTCTCAGCGTATTTTTTCGTTCCACACATATTTCTGGCAGTATTTACTCTAGTACAGCGTTGGAAATATGCTCGCCTCACCCTTCACCTCTGCAGCAGCTCAAACAAAAACCAGTCACGATTCAACAGGAAAGGAAGACCATCACCATTTTCATGATACTTCTTTAAACTCCAGCTTGACATTATTTCAAAGAAAAAAAAGAAACTATAATTGTACAGTTGTTATCCTATTTGTTGTGCTGCCCTTGATTTTTGCTGATTAAGTAAAATATTATCTAGTGACTGTAAAATAGCCTACCAAAAAGAAGATTACCAACTCAAATTGGTTCCTCGTTTTTGCTGTGGTATCGAAATTGAGCATTAACCGTTAAAAAATAATAATTTTGAGAACTGCATATTTTCATTGTCTGAGTGGACATTGATGATTATCCAAGTGTTTGAAGTGATGTACTTGCTATACAAGCTTCAGCGTCTGTCATCTGAGCATCTGCCCTTGACAATGACATTTATCAGCAGCAAATAGCAGCATTTGATGTGTGCCAGAGGTGAAAGTGTGTTATAACACCAACAATACAAACTGATCAGCACACAGTGAGTGTGTGTGTGTGTGTGTGTAAATGAGTTGTGAAAGTGTGTGTTTCTCAGCGTATTTTTTCGTTCCACACATATTTCTGGCAGTATTTACTCTAGTACAGCGTTGGAAATATGCTCGCCTCACCCTTCACCTCTGCAGCAGCTCAAACAAAAACCAGTCACGATTCAACAGGAAAGGAAGACCATCACCATTTTCATGATACTTCTTTAAACTCCAGCTTGACATTATTTCAAAGAAAAAAAAGAAACTATAATTGTACAGTTGTTATCCTATTTGTTGTGCTGCCCTTGATTTTTGCTGATTAAGTAAAACATATTGTATTAAATGTTGAGAATAATGGGTTTGGATGCATTACGATAAATATTTTCTTTTATTACAACAACACGAATTTTGCAAAGAAAATAATGTCACAAATGCATAAAAAAATGCAACAACAAAAAAATAGCCTTCTTAAAAAAGGTCTCATTTGTAAACTTTATTACTTAAAATGAACTAACAATGAGCAATACACCTCTACAGCATCTAATAACGTTCATTTGTTATTTTCAATACATTTTTAAATCTAAATTTGCATCTGTTAACAGTTAATGCATTGTGAACGAACATGAAAAACTGCTGTAAAATCTTTTAAATCCTGCCCTTGACAATGACATTTATCAGCAGCAAATAGCAGCATTTGATGTGTGCCAGAGGTGAAAGTGTGTTATAACACCAACAATACAAACTGATCAGCACACAGTGAGGGCCGTGTGTGTGTGTGTGTGTGTGTGTGTGTGTGTAAATGAGTTGTGAAAGTGTGTGTTTCTCAGCAGAGGGTGTGTTGATTGAAGGTTTATGGTGGAGGTCTCGTCGTTTAAACCACAGACACGTACCAGCTAACTACATCTCGTCAACGCACTTCACTTTCAGTGCAAGCGACGTCTGAGACACACCTTCAGCTGCTGATCAGACAGGATCGATCGCTCTCTTCAGCGGCTGGAGCTGTGTGTCGTTCCACACATATTTCTGGCAGTATTTACTCTAGTACAGCGCTGGAAATATGCTCGCCTCGCCCTTCACCTCTGCAGCAGCTCAAACAAAAACCAGTCACGATTCAACAGGAAAGGAAGACCATCACCATTTTCATGATACTTCTTTAAACTCCAGCTTGTCATTATTTCAAAGAAAAAAAAGAAACTATAATTGTACAGTTGTTATCCTATTTGTTGTGCTGCTCTTGATTTTTGCTGATTAAGTAAAACATATTGTATTAAATGTTGAGAATAATGGGTTTGGATGCATTACGATAAATATTTTCTTTTATTACAACAACACGAATTTTGCAAAGAAAATAATGTCACAAATGCATAAAAAAATGCAACAACAAAAAAATAGCCTTCTTAAAAAAGGTCTCATTTGCAAACTTTATTACTTAAAATTAACTAACAATGAACAATACACCTCTACAGCATCTAATAACGTTCATTTGTTATTTTCAATACATTTTTTAATCTAAATTTGCATCTGTTAACAGTTAATGCATTGTGAACGAACATGAAAAACTGCTGTAAAATCTTTTAAATAGTTTTAGAGCAACAATAACTAATGATTAATAAATGCAGTAAAATGTACTGCTTATTGCATTAATGCATGAACTAATGTAAACAAATGAAACCTTACTTTAATTGTTTTATTTAGACATTTATTAATAGATTTTTTCCAAATCAAAAGTTGCATCTGTGAATGTTAGTTAATGCACTGAACAACTATTAATAGATGTTGTAAAAGTTTATCATTCATTGTTAGCTCATGAGAGCTTAGTGCGAAGTGTTTTCTTTATATAAAATATGACTTGTGTCTTGTGATGCTCGGGTGAAATTCAGCAGAAAGGTGTGGATCTGAGCTGATGAGTGACACATTCATGCATGAAAGCCTCTTTTAAAAGTGAGGGTTTCGAATCTTTTCAGTCGTGCATGTTGAGAATTTCTGACCTTTAAAGTTGGCACGAACTCTCAGCAGCGAATGAGCAAACCAGCTCTCGTAGTAAAGTACAAATGTAGCACAGGATGCGTGCAAGGGTGAGTCTAGTGAAAGCGGTCAGGAACATCTTCAGGTCATACTGCAGTTCACCTCAAAATTCAAAGAAAGAAAAAAAAAAGATTACATTTAGAGTCAGACATCTACTGTAATTTGTAACAAAATAACTGTATTATTTCAATTTTTGAAGAACCAAATAAACTTAATTTATGCTGATTAAACCAATTTACTGCTGTAAAAAATGCAATAAAAAAATAAAGCAACCATAAAAATATCATATATATATATACATATATATATATATATATATATATATATATATATATAAAATTGTGCCTATTTTTCTCATTTTCATTTACTTTTAATAAACTTTTACAGCAATGTTAAAAAAAATACAGTTGTACGCAGTGCATTAACTAACATTCACAGATACAACTTTTGATTTGGAAAAAAACATTAGTTACCATTAAAACTACATCAAAATTACAGTAAATAAAAAATGTACACACACACACACACACACACACACATACATACATATATATATATACATTTAATATTTTATTTATATTTCTAATTTTCATTTACTTTTAAATGAAGTACTAAAATAACTCAAACTAAAAGCCAAAGCTTTAAAATTATAGATTAAAAAATAGTATGACAAAATGACAATGACAAAAACTAAACTGCAAAAACTTTACAACTAAAACAAAAACAGAAAATATAAAAAATAAAATCTGATTCAAAATGTTAACAAAAACTTATATATATATCAGTGATCATTTAAATAATTTTGTGCATTGCAGTCATGAAAATTTGAGAGTAAAATGAGCTTAAATTTGATTAAAATAAAAAAAGAAATCAACAAAAATAAAAATGTATGAGCATTACGAGCATTGCGTTAGCAGCGCAAAAGGTTGTGGGTTCGATACCCAGGGAACACACATACTGGTAAAAAATGTATAGCGTCTGCTAAATGCATAAATGATTAATCTTAGTTAATGTTAATTCCAACATTTACTAATGCATTATTAAAATCAAAAGTTGTATTTGTTAACATTAGTTAATGTACTGTGAATTAACATGAACGACTGTATTTTCATTAACTAACATTAACAAAGATTAATAAATACTGTAATAAATGTATTGTTCATGTTAGTTCATACAAGGTTCAAGAACCTTATTGTAAAGTGTTACCCCCAGTATACTTTCTATTAATAGGCCTATACTTCACAGGCAATAAAATGACCCAAATAAAACCAAAAACAACTCGATTTTGTCATCAGAGTCAACTGAAGGAAGTCAACTGAAGAGTTTCGCCGGAATTCCTAATTAAGCGTCGGAGTAAGAAATAGTTTAAGAGAAGAATCTTCATTTGCATACGTGCACTTGACATGCATACCTGCCATTTCTCGTAAAAAAAAACATGCAATTATCTTATTTAATAACAGAGTAGCATTTACGGCATGAGACTGGTCGCTCCTGCTTTACATTGACAAATAAACACACGAACATGTGCACAATTACTCATGAAAGAGAGGAGCGTGATGCTGAGATCACTGCCCTCCACTAGAGGACTCCACTGATCAATATTCATCATTCCTTATATGATGTAATAAAAGCGTGTCATTTGCATACAAGTAACAATGACACAGTGAACAAACTAATAAACCAGTTAAACTGGAAAAATTCACTGAGAACCATCTTAAACTCTTCTGTAGTGTAGGATTGTGGGAAATATCAGCATGCACAGTTGCACACTTTGAAAAACCACTGAATGTATGATTCTGTTCTTGTTTGAAGTGATATTTGAAACACTTTAATTCAGATATCCTGAGCTGTGAGTCTCTGTAAAGAGCCAGGCACTAAAACATCTACAATATAAAGACACATATTTGGAAGACATGTGTCATCAGAATTCACGCAGGGTTTCTGCAGGCTTTAAGAAGGTACATTTAAGACCTATTTAAAGGAACGTGATTTGTCATTATGTTCTTTTTTTCAGTGCAAATGTCTAAAGATTCTTAAATCAAGATACATTTGCTTGAGAAATAAAATGACGTGTGAAATTGATCACATGAAGTGAGTTTATGATTAAAACAAGAACAAATATCTACTAATGGAGTCTGAAAAAACAACTTAATTCAAAGGGAAAACTAGTTTTCATATGTGTTCTTGTTTTAAGCATAACATTGGTTCAGTTTCTCAGAAAACTAGACTTCATGTCTACATTTTGCATCTGTATCTTGAATTAAGGATGTTACTTTATGGCCTGCTTTCACAGACGGGGCTTAGACTAAGCCAAGATTAGGCCATAGTTCAATTAGGACATTTAAGTAATTTTACATAAACGTGCCTTGGAAAACACATTACTGGTGTGCATCTTGAGACAAAACAGAGGCACTGATATATTTTAAGATCAGTCAGTGCAAGTTTCTTTCAGTTGAAACAGCTCAGATTTGCATTTTAGTCTAGGACTAGGCTTAAGCCTTGTCTGTGAAAACGGGGGTATGAGTTTAAGACGTTCTGCTCTGATTTGAGAGCTTTAGAATATCTTAATTTCTGTAAGGTGAATAAGACTTTTTTTAAAAACTTTTTAAGACCTGCAGAATACCCAAACGTGGATTTCTGAAAGGAAACAGATGCTTTTTGCCCTCATAAAGGTGTAGTTACAGCATCTACCAGCGGGGGCTTAACTAGATCACGTTAACTAACCCATGGCAACCTGTTTGAAATGGCACTTGAAACAAAACATAACACAGACTGCTGTGACAGTACTTATGATGAATCTAAAGCGCTGTGTGTGGAGGACTGACAGAAGCTGTGAGAAGCGTCAGTGTGTCTGTGTGTGTGTTTCTCTGATCCGGCCTACAGGATTAAACGGGTGAGAGGAGGCCGTCCTGCCCTCACAATCCTAACATCACAGACATACCTCATTTCTGAAAGGAAACAGATGCTTTTTGCCCTCATAAAGGTGTAGTTACAGCATCTACCAGCGGGGGCTTAACCAGATCACGTTAACTAACCCATGGCAACCTGTTTGAAATGGCACTTGAAACAAAACATAACACAGACTGCTGTGACAGTACTTATGATGAATCTAAAGCGCTTTGTGTGGAGGACTGACAGAAGCTGTGAGAAGCGTCAGTGTGTCTGTTTCTCTGATCCGGCCTACAGGATTAAACGGGTGACAGTTCAGCAGCTCCACAGAGGCTTGTGTTTGTGGAGATGGGTCTGCCCTGGCTGTGGAGGCACCGGGTGAGCGCTTTACTGCTGGTGTTAGCGCTCTTACTGCTCCTCACGCTCCTGGCCACACACTCACTACAGACCAACAGGTGAGAGACTTTAGTTAGTAGAATACTAAACTAGACATGTTTACTTTTGCATTTGGCAGGTGCTTTTATCCAAAGCAACTTCAAGGATTCGAACCCATGATCCTGGCGTCAATAGAGTGTCAGGTTGATGGTTAATTAAAACTAAAACAACAATTTTGTTACTTGAAATAAGATCAACTTTAACTGAAATGAAATAAAATAGAGAAAAACTTAACTTATTTTCATTTAGTTTAACTTATACTATAATACTACTTAATACAACAAAAATTACTAGGAACCTTATAGACATATTTTAAAAAATAAATAAAAAAAGTAATACAAATAACAACCAAAATTGCTAAAACTTTAACTAAAATTAACAAGAAAACAAGGGGAAATATAAAAATGCATTCAAAATATTAATAAAAACCATAATAGTTTCTTAATACTATACACATTTGGCAGATGCATTTATCCAAAGTGACTTTCAATGCATTATAGTTAACTAAAACTTGAATCATAAAATCATTAACGGAAAAAAAAAAAAAAAAAATAAAAAAAAAAAATATATATATATATATATATACAAAAAAAATTATTTTTTTACAGCTAGTTGCAAACGCAGCGTTTCTCATTTAGTTTAACTTGAGAAAACTATTATTATTATAGTTTATAATAGTTTTATATATGTAACGGAGGCCAGCGAGTAGGTGCTGTGCAGGTAAACACATGCAGACTTTAGCCTCCTTGTTAGTGCGTCCACCTCCCATGCCCAGGTTTGAGACCCACTCAGAACAAGAACGAGGTGTGGCGCTGAGGACCCGGGAGAGAGGGGTTACATTGGTGCCGTGACCCAGATGGGAGTGAGGCTTAGGGGGGTGAGTGTAACGGAGGCCAGCAAGTAGGTGACTTACCACTAGAGGCTGCAGACTTTAGCCTCCTTGTTAGTGCATCCGCCTCCCATGCTGGAGACCCAGGTTCGAGACCCAGTCGGAACAAGGTGTGGCAGTGAGGACCTGGGAGAGAGGGGTTACATACAGTATTGAAAACTATTATAGTTTCTCAATGATAAACACTGAAGGTTAAAACAGACAGCTATCTAAGAACTATTTCAACGTAGATCTAGACCAAATTATATTTAATTAAAATTAGGTTTGTAGGTTGTTTAAATGGTTTTCTCAACACAAGGTGCACATCATGTGGTATGGTTTCCTTTGGTTGATGCAAAAGCTGTTTTCTGAATTGAGGTGTTCACTAGGAAACCACACTGGAAAGTTCACCACAAAACGGGTCATTTGGACTTTTGTGTTAAATGCTTATGATGACATTTAATTGTGTGTTAGTTGCTCACTGAAGTCAATTTCTGCTGAGAAAACTAACATCCCTTATATCTGTATGCAAGTGCACTTAACACGCTTATGCATGTAATGCACGTTTGTGCTTTCTATTGTTGGTGCTTTCTGAGTCATCATATAAACAGTTTCTGCTAATACTCATGTCAGTGATGCAATTTAATATGGTTCAAAGAAAAGACTAGAAAGAAAGAAATCTGGTCAGCTGACAGAGGAGAAGGCATCTAACCTGACGTTTCCTCTACAGAACCTATGAACTGAGACCTACAGCAGACAGAAGGAACCAGAGAAGAGCTGCTGAGAAACACACGTCACCACTCACTCCAAACACACACCAACCGCCCAAACACACACCGACAGCCAGAGCCTAGTGGCAGAGAGCACATCCACCCATGGTCTTCCTGAAAACACACCGGACTGGCAGCAGCACCGTGCAGAACATCCTGTTTCGACTCGGGGAACGAGAGGGCGCCACTTTTGCCTTTCCCTCCCGCACGTACCAGTTTAACTACCCAAACAGGTAAAATGAGCACAATGCATAATGCACATCACGTTTCCAACAATGTTTCAGTTTAATTACATGTTAGTCAGAGTACTCAGGTCTGCATTACCTGTTCCCATTCATCTCAGAGGCGGTTTGGTGCAGGATCTTCTGGAAGTGCATGACCTTCTGCTGCCGTCTTTGGTCCCAGGCAGCTGCAAACTCTTCACTAAATAATATTCTGGGTCAAAGACAACAGGAGGAGAAAAATATGAGTTTATTTTACCATGGTGCTAACTGGACCATGTTGATCAATCTAGGGCACCAAATGAAAATTTAAGAAAAGATAAATCCATAAAAGCCTCCAAAACATAACTATAATACAATGAAATACTTACAGGGCCCATAACGATGTCCTCTGGGGGCCTGCGATTGCAAACAATTGAGTTACTCCCATGCTAATCAGTCTTAATGATATTCATCATTTAGCTACCCATGCTAGGTCACCAAAATACGATCGTCACTACAAACGCCAATGGATTGCCCCAAAATTGACCTTAAAAAACACTGCCTTTAAAGCCAAAGCATCTCAGTATGGCCGCTGCCATCTTGAGTAAATGACGTAATTTGGAGCCAGTCTGCGCAGTAGAGATTTGTTTGGAGCCAGAGTCTGCACAGTAGTGTCGTGAGGTGGAGCCGCGGTATCAAACTCCCACAGACCCAATCAACCATAACGACACGCCCCGTTTTTATAGCATCAAATTACTAGCTAAAATCAAACTTATCATAAAAATTAACAATTGAACATATATCAGCGTGATAACAATTATCTTAAATTACCAAAACCATCTTTCGGAAAATTGTATTGGAAGTGTAATAAATGTTTTTATTTTGACTCGAGTCCCATTCGTTTACATGAAGAGGGCGGGGTTTATGACATTTACTGCAGCCAGCCACCAGGGGGTGATCAAAGAGCCCGCAGCTTCACTTTTCATGCCGTGTGAGGCACACCCGCACTAGATAGTCATCTTGCTGACGATTCTGAGATCTCAGTCAAGTACTATATATAAATAGTTCGGTCTTTTTGCATGCTTAAAGTTCATGGTTTGGAAAGTCAAGTATCAAAATTATCTACAAGTTTCCCAGACGTGAATACAACTTAAGAGGCCGGTCATGTCCAATTTGCGACATGACTTTGGAGACCCCAGAGGGTTCAAGAGGGAATTGCAGGGGGTAAATCATGAATAAATAAATAAAGGGGTAAAAAAAAGAAACGCATACATTTTATTATTATTTTTGTTAATAAAAGGCTTGTTCACAATAATACCAGGTTGTATTAAGAAATAAAATGAATTTTGAATGGATACTGATAATTGATATTGATTGTCATCAGTAGTTGCTTGTGTTAACAGCAGATTTGTTGCTTAACCAGAGAAGTTAAACTGGTCTGTTAAGTTAAACAAAGATGTCTATCTTTCATGCTACATTAAAAAAAAAAAGAATCAACTCTTAGAATAACGAGAAATGAAACACCTCAAAAGCACTGATAATGAAAATGCATGTCATAAGAATTTGGGTAGAAATGTGCGTAACTAACATTAAAATCAGAACACAACACCAAAAAAAATGTTAAGTTAAACAAAGATGTCTATCTTTCATGCTACATTAAAAAAAAAAAAGAATCAACTCTTAGAATAACGAGAATACAGGAAATGAAACACCTCAAAAGCACTGATAATGAAAATGCATGTCATAAGAATTTGGGTAGAAATGTGCGTAACTAACATTAAAATCAGAACACAACACCAAAAAAAAATAAATGTGACCCAGACCGGTTTTACTTTATCTCTGAAACATCCACATTTTAGGGAAAAGCTTTCTGTTTATACAGTAGTTAGTCAAACAGCAAAACACATAAACAGAGACTAAATCACAGTGTTTACAGCAGCCAAATCACATGTTGGCCTGTCAAAGAGTAACGTCAGCAGCTCTCGTCTGCTGTCATTAGCGTCACACCAAACACAGCCACGCTAATCTGCTTAGCCACCTGCTCCCCGAACTCTTCACATCCTCCTGTATGGTGCGTTTACACATGACAACTACAGAAAAACAAGAAAATAACAGCAGCAGTCTGTAAAAACTCACGTTTCACGTTTTGGACACACAAAATAGTCCAGCTCTCCTTGACATGCCAGTGAGTGTGGCAATCTTGATCACATGACTCAAATTGGAGGAAGTACTGGATAATCCAAACAGGAAATAAAGTGTGTGCATCACAGGAGCACAAATTCATCCAAACAGCTTTTCTTTTTGATTCGGCCCAGTCGGTCTTTGGTCTTTATATGAGTGACTGAGTCTGACGTACAGCTTCTCTCTGCGTTATTGTGACCCTCCACAAATGTGAAGATGGGGTACTTTTCCTCCGATGATGTCAGAGCCTGTCCACCAAATCAAAAACAGAGATACTGATATCGCAGGATTTCGGACGTATAATCTGAAAGGCCGATAAACTACTAACCTCAGTGACGTCTGAGCACAGAGTCTGGAAATCCCCCCTGCTGGCGGCGTAGAAACCCACCGTACAGCTCGGGTCCATGCGGTTAAACGGCATCTTCCTGACAGTTTTACAGTGAAACGACTGCATCGAGACAGACAAACACAGAGACATTATTCAATTCAGTTTATTTGTAGAGCGCTTTTAACAATGCATATTGTTTCAAAGCAGCTGCACAGAAAATGCCTGTTTTTGAATGTTACAATAAGAATTCTATGATAATATAAACTTACAATATATACTATTACAGTTTTTATTCATATATAAATATATATAAAATATTTAAAAAGTGTTTGTAATTTTGTCCCGTTTTTTTTTCATTAGTGTCTGTTTAAAAAAAAAAAGTGTATGTATAGTTTATTAAATGTTATTTCAGCAAATATTTTATTTAAATGAAAATAAATGTTGCCTAGCTAAAATCAAATCATCAAAAAGAAAATTATTTTTAATTAATAAAATGATTTGATTTTAGTTAACAATAACCCTGTATTCAAAAAGTGGAGGCATTAATATACTTTAATAGTTTTGATTAGGGATGCATCGATATCACTTTTTCCAATACTCGCCCGATACCGATACTTTTATTTTTGGTACTTGCCAATACAGAGTACCGATACTGATATTTTTATTGCATTTGTACATTTTTTAAATATTGGGTTCAGAAACCAAAAGGGTATGTATAATGTTAGTTGGTTAACTTCATTTATCAAATAGATACAGTCAAACCAAAATTTATTCAGACACCTTCAACATTTCTCCGATTTATATTCCAAAGCCACTCATATAATGCAGAAACACTCAAGCAAGCAAAACAGGCGCAACGCGTGCACGTACAAATACCTGTGTAAAATGCGCTTGGCTGTACTACTGTCCAGCCAAGCGCATTTTACACAGGCTAGATTCACTTTCGCCTGAAAGCTAAGGTTGAAAATAAATGATGTTTATAGTGAATGCCCCTATAAATGGTTTTATTTTTACGATTTCGTTTTAATCCAAATGATGCGTGTGCTAAGTGAGTGAACATCAAAGATCACACAACAGAATTGCGCCCGCTCGCTCTCTCCCTACCGTTAAGTAACTTGTGCATTGTTTTACTTACTTGTTTTTGACATATACGACAGAACTACAAACTTTCCAGTGATGTCTGTGAGAAAGATATATTCACTCGACAAGCTCGCGCATCTGCTCAATCCACTCAGCGTGCTTTGTTTATCAGCTCGCGCACATCAGCTATACAGGCGTTAATACTGAATGTTTAACATTATATTCATTGCATACATATACTTCGTAGTAGACATCCTTAACTCCATTCTGCTGTCTGTTGTTGGTGTTTCTTTATCTGAATATGGCGCTTATCACATGCTGTGTGGCATTGGCGTTTGGTATCGAGGCATTTTAACGAGTACGAGTACTTGAGACCAGTATCGGGCCCGATAACGATACCAGTATCGGTATCGGTGCATCCCTAGTTTTGATTAATACTTTGAATCAGTTTTTATTGTTATATTTTTAAAATTAATTAAAAGTAACTATATAGACGTCAAACAGAACCATTAAAATACAACTACAGTTTTATTTTCAGTTTATATTTTTTATTTCCTGTTTTGATTTAATTTTTTTTTACTTTAATTTTAGATTTTAATTTTGTACTGTTTTTGCCATTTTATTAGCTTTTTAAAAATTTTTATTATGTGTACAGTTTTTATTAAGTATTCGTTCATTTTTTGTTTTAGCCATTTTAGTCCTTTAACTTAAACAAAAAAATACTAATTTCAACTATTTTCAATTAGAAAAAAAAAAAGTTTTTAATCATTTTAGTTTACTATAATAACCCTGTAAAAGAGAAACAGAGGTGTTTAGCAGTATGTTCAAGTTGCTCTT